CCCTCTCTCTCCTCCCCTTTTTTCAATATCTCCACAATTAGATCGTTTCAATCACTATTAACCCTATCCGTACGTCGTATTTTACTATCGTATCCAAAGAGGAAATTTACTCGTTAATCCGATCCGTACGCTTTGCATATATAGAAGTCTGTGAAAATATTTTTTTAGGAATACTGAACGTTTCAAAGAGGTTTTTGCACTAGAAGTATTCTAAAATGTGAAGAATACCATCCTTGGGGTACAAAATGACCCCAGGTCGTACAGATATGGTTAACAAACATGATATTATTATTTTGCCTCCAATTAAAAATAATTAAGTATTGCGTGTACTTTTTTTTTAGCTGTATTATCCATTAGTTCCGTTCTTAGAACTGTAGGCCTGTTTCTTTTATAATGGCGATATCTAAGCGAATTATTACCTGATTTGATTCATTGAATGTGTACGAACCAGCTAATGTTCATATTATGAGACTGAGGAGTCAGTGTTTAATAATGCATGAACTGATTTTTAATAAAATGATAAAAGTATCCAAAGACTAAAGAATCGAATAATTAATTAATTCATCTTGGACTACTTGTACTTACCGGTTACTTGTGAGTTGATTTTCCTTCAAATTACGTCCTTTTATGACACCTTTCAGTTCCATTAATTTTATATCGTATTATTGAACGTGAGATGCAGCATAAACATATCTTTTCCTTTTTCATTTCCTGGGACAATTTACTTCCTTGGCATGATGTGTGGTGTTCACAGAGTGTGCGCAAATGAGTGTCTGATTTTCCCATTCTATTATTTATTTTTTTCAAGCGAGGTGCAGACTACTTTATGTTCACCTACCAAATACCAGAGCTGATAAAAAAAAATAATGGAAGCTGTGTGTGGAGTGCATTGTATTTGGAAAACATGTATTGTTATTGACCTTAACTTTTCACAGGGAGACAATAACCTAAAGTTGTGTTGTTATATATATATATTAGTGTACAACAATGTACAGAAAAATACAGAAGTGTGTATGTGTGTGTGTGTGTGTG